CGGATGCAGGGCCCGGGGGCGCTGTCCCTGCGCTCCGCCGTCGGCTCGGGCTGAAAAAGTTTCTCCATGGTTCCTTTGTGTCGCCCGAGAGCCCGTTCGCCGGCCCCGACCTGCCTCGGTCTCCCTGGGTAAGTGAGCGATGTTGTGTGCGGAGAGTGCTGCCATTTTGAGCAATTCTGCCAGTCCCCAGCCCCTGGGGGCCCCTCCCCGCCCCTCGGGTCTCCGAACCCCCGCGCCCCGGGCTAGTGTTCGGGGAGAGGCTTTTTCCTGGGCTGGCTACACGGGATGCGCTGTCCAGAAAAAGCTAGTTCCAGATTGCTCTCACTTCGCTGCTGCCTGTCTTCTTTCCAGAGGCGGACTCCCAGCTGCTGCACTCATGTGACTCCAGCCAACATCAATAAGCAGACCAAAGCCAGGGGCCAGGGGGTCGCCGCCCTGCCAGTGAGGGACGGGGGGTCGAGGACCTGGGTTGGGTGCCGAGCACAGCACAGCGCTGCCAGCCTGTGGGCTCGGAGCCTCCGAGCCTCAGAGTGGGGCTTAATCCGTCATGAGCGGAGAACTTGAATGTCTCTCTTGGAAGCAGTTGTATTTTTAGACCTCCCTCCTTTGCTTCCCCCATCCTCCATTCTTTAACCACGGTAAGACCAGCTCCAGGCAGTAAACTGAGAGGGCAGCCAAGCTTGACTGCTAAGTTTGTTTTCTTGCATTAGGTATAAAGGAAAACCTCAAAGGTGGGTCTCCCGTGGCATCTGACCTTTGTCTGTATTTCGTGTCAGATGGTGACACATTAAAAGGGAGTACAGCCTTCAACAGAGCTGAAGGAATTAATAAACGAGGGAGTTAATTACTAGCTATTAAACTCATTTTAAAGATGTGCGGTAAAGGACTGTTGAAATCCATTCCTTACATTCTACCGGAGCCAAAGCTGCTTTGCTGAGGAGAAATCCAAGTGAGTTTCCCCCTCCCCCAAGACATCCAGGCTCCTGGTGCACCTGATCAATGCCCAACAAAACGTGTAGCCTTTCTTCGGTGGGAGAGCCACCCTGCCAGCTGAGTCTGAGTTCGCTTCCAAAAAAATGTCCGGTCCTTAAAGCCTTCTTAACATAACCACGGATCTCCAGATTATTTAAGATGCTGGATTCCAAGGATCACTTATAACAACAGTCTCTATATTACAACCACATAATAAATATGCCTATTTATTTGGGATGAGAGATAGACAATATATTTTTTTTTCAATCTGTACTTACTGGTGCAGCTTAAAGGTTTATAGATGTATTCTCTATACTGACCCCTCTCTTATCTACCTGGTGCTTCTCTTTACTGAAACCCAACTAAGTCCCAAAGAGAGATTGATTTGCAAACATTGTAAAGAGCTGATTACCATTTGCATTCCCACTGATGGAGAAAAGATCCTGCCTATATTGATATAATGGAGGAACTCAAGAGCCAAAGCCTTTCACCCAATCACCAATTAAAAGCAAAATTCTACCTACCACACATTTTCAAGGGGGAATTTATTCTAAAACATGAATTATCTGACAAAGGATAGAATAGCAAAAGGCTTGGGAGTGATATTTAAGTCTTTCATTTCATACAATGTCCTTAATTTTAGCATCTCATAGGAGGGAAAACAACTAATGGGACAGAAAATGTTTTACTCTGGAGATACAGCAAGACTATAATTTTTAGAGGTTGCCGAATAACCACCAATATGCATTTGTGAATTTACCTACCCAGGCTTTATTACAAACAACTAAATAAACTTCCTAAGAGTAATCCATTGATTGTTGCCACCCTCCCTTCCTAAAAATGACCTCATGAGAAAGGGATAAGGGGGAGGAGGGAAGCAAAAAACAAACAAACAACAACAACAACAACAACAAAACAGCTTTGGCTTGGGGGAAATGTCATTCTACAAATCACATATTATGTAAGCTGCTTTACCTAGTTAATTGCCTCCTCATTTGAGTACTGGAATTCTGTAGCATGCTCTTGGCACCTTAATAAGGGGTCAGAAAGCTATTCTGGCAGAGTGTTAGTTTTTTTAATTGTAATTTTCCCATATGAGAAAAAAGATCTTTCTCTTGGAGATTCTAGGGGACTTCTCAAATTCCCTGATGAAATCTGGCACATGATACCTTTAAGGGAGTTCCTCTGAGGGAGGAAAGAAGGCCAGAAGGAAGAGCTCAGTTACATAAGCAGTTACCTAAAACTAAATATTCCACCCCAAGAAGCTGTCCAGATGTTGCCGAGAGGCGAGAAGGCTGTGCAAGGGATCTGCTTGCACTTAGCTGTAGGAACAGGCATAGGTGGGAGACAACTTTGTGAAGGGATTTATTGTCAGAGTATTGTAATATCTCTGCTGCTTCCCCAGTGATGAACTCTCTGTTAATTATCTGAAGTAAATAAACCGCCTTCCAGCCATTATATGACCTTTAATTTTCATCCAGTGAAATAAATTCCTTTGTCTTTATACAGTAGTAACTTTCCTGACTGTTTTAGTGACTTTGGGCCACACATTGACAGATTCCCCAGCTTAGAGAGATTTGAAACTCCTGTGGTAGTTCCCTTGAAATATCTTCCAATTCCAGAAGGATTAAGGGAAAGAATCTTGCCGGGAAAGTCCTTAACCACTACTTTGCTTTTGTCCCTACATTTAGGTTTTACTAATGGTTGGAACTCCACTGTTCATTTCAAACCCTCATATTACCCATGGAGTGTGTGGCGGAGATGGGTGGGGAGCGGGGAGAAGGAGGCATACTTTCAGATGGTTTTATCACCACATACTAGTTACTGCAATGTTTTATAACCACCTATTAGTTGCTGCAACTAATAGGTCCCTTCCCTAATGTCTACCTGGCCCCAGCCTCTGTACACGGCCTTCGTTTCAGTTAGTGGATAAAGGCCCTGGGGTTGGGGGCACACATGGAGTGGGATCTGGGAGTAGGGCAGCTGCAGCGTGAGATGCCACTGCAGCCAAGCCGACACCCTCTGACTGTCTTCCTCTGCTTTGCAGCAGGAGGAGGTGGCTGAGCAGCTAGTGGGCAGTTGGCGCCCTCCCTGAGCAAGCCTCCATCCCAGAGGCTAGTCCTGTAATCCACGAGTTCGCCATGATCGCCACCGGCGGCCTGCTGAGGATTTCCGCCAGAAAGCAGGATCCACTCCGCCCCCCAAGTCAGATCCCCAAGCGCAAGCGGAAAGCCAAAAAGAGGCGCAAGAACGATGTGGTGGTGGTGAAAGGCAAGCTGAAGCTGTGCTCCATCTCGGGGCTCATCGCCCTCTGTGGGATCCTGGTGCTGCTGGTGGGCATAGCCATGGCGGTGGTGGGCTACTGGCCCAAGGCCACGGGGGCCAATCGGGAGGGGGGTAAGCAGCTGCCGCCTGCGGGCAGCAGCCACCGCATCCCGACCACCGCCAACAGCAGCGGCAGTGGCAGCAAAAACTGGTCCAGGAGCCACCCTAGGGCTCCAGGGGGTGTCAACTCCAGTTCCGCGGGCGCGCCCAGGAGCACGCCTCCTGCGCGAGTCGCCTCTCCTTCCTCCTCCTCCACGTCGGTGGGCTTCTTCTTCCGCATCTTCTCTGGCTACCTGCACTCTGACAAGCTCAAGGTCTTCGGGCCCCTCATCATGGGCATCGGCATCTTCCTCTTCATCTGCGCGAACGCGGTCCTCCACGAGAACCGGGACAAGAAGACCAAAATCATCAACTTGCGGGACCTCTACTCCACAGTCATCGACGTGCACAGCCTCCGCGCCAAAGACCTGGCGGCCGCCGCGGCCGCC